ATTTCAGATAGGACTTTTTTTTTTTTTTTTTTTTTTTTTGTACAAAATCTATATATAGTGCAGTGGTGTAATCTTGGCTCACCGCAACCTCTGCCTCCCAGGTTCAAGCAATTCTCCTGCCTCAGCCTCCTGAGTGGCTGGGATTACAGGCATGAGCCACCACACCCTGTTAATTTTTGTATTTTTAGTAGAGACAGGGTTTCACCATGTTGCCCAGGCTGGTCTCAAACTCCTGAGTTCAGGCAATCTGCCTGTCTCAGCCTCCCAAAGTGCTGGGATCACAGGCGTGAGCCACTGAGCCCAGCCTGTTTCAGTTTTCTATTAGCTTAGTATATTCTGTTAACTATTGTTCTCGTTGTTATTGACAAACATTTTAGCTTCTCATGAGTTCTGTAGTATTTCTGTTATCAGAAGCCTGCATTTGAGAGCACCTGTTGAAGTCCTACAGCTGATTGCAAATCATTTTTTGAAGAGGATTAAAACAGACAAAAACCATCTGTAAATGACAAAATGTCCAGGTGGTTACAGTCAAGAACATGACTGAGCAGCTGGGTGTGGTGGCTCACGCCTGTATTCCCAACACTTTGGGAGGCTAAGGTGGGTGGATCACCTGAGGTCAGGAATTCAAGACCTCAACATGGCAAAACCTCATTTCTACGAAAAATACAAAATTAGCTGGGTGTGGTGGCAAGCACCTGCAATCCCAGTCACTCCGAAGGCTGAGGTGGGAGAATCGCTTGAACCTGGAGGTGGAGGCTGTAGTGAGCTGAGATCGCACCACTGCACACCAACCAGTCTGGGCAACAGAGTGAGACTACATCTGAAAAAGAAAATGGCCAGGAGTGGTGGCTCACACCTGTAATCTCAGCACTTTGGAAGGCCAAGGTGTGCGGGTCATCTGAGGTCAAGAGTTCAAGAGTTTGAGACCAGCCTGGCCAACATGGTGAAACCCCATCTCTACTAAAAATACAAAAATTAGCTAGGCATGGTAGTGGGTGCCTGTAATCCCAGCTACTCAAGAGGCTGAGGTAGAATTGCTTGAACCTGGGAGGCAGAGGTTGCAGGGAGCTGAAATCCAGCCACTACACTCCAGCCTAGGCAACAAAAGTGAAACTCTCTCAAAAAGAAAAAGGACATGGTTAACAATGAAATTTGGTTATCACTGTGGTCTACAATAGTTTAACATAATAACTTTAATTATGATTGATAGCATATTTCAGACACTAGGACTTCACACATCTCATATGATTTTGGAACATATATTAATATTATTCACTGAAATATAACCTGAACAAGATTAAACATAATCGTTGCAATTCCACGTACCTAAATATGTCAGATAATCCTGTTCACCTGTCTTCCCATGCTCCAGGGGCCCTCTGTAGGATTCAAAAGTCAGGGTTAGGAAAGACCATCTCGAAACTGAAATTTGATTTTGGGAAGCCTGTTGAGTATGTTACAGGTTTAAAACGGTTGATATTATGAAATAGCATTTCAGATAACCATAAATCATTTGTTTTGCCAAAACGATGACCCTAAAATTTGAAAAATCAAAACACTTTTTAAAAAAATTTTGAGGTGGAGTTTTGCTCTTGTTGCCCAGGCTGGAGTGCAATAGCATGATCCCCGTTCACCACAACCTCCACCTCCTGGGTGCAAGTGATTCTCCTGCCTCAGCCTCCCAAGTAGCTGGGATTACAGGCATGTGCCACAACGCCCAGCTAATTTTGTGGGTTTTTTAAATTTATTTTTATTTTTTTCACCCCCAGCTTTTCCTGACTCTATAAAGAACCAGGAAGAGAAGGCCAATTTTGTGTTTTTAGTAGAGACAGAGTTTCTCCTTGTTGGTCAGGCTGGTCTCTAACTGCTGTCCTCAGGTGATCCACCCACATCGGCCTCCCAAAGTTCTGGGATTACAGGTGTGAGCCACTGCGTCCAGCCTATAAACTGCTTCTTTGGCCTTTAAATTGGCTTTAAATACACCTGGTGGTGCATGCCTGTAATGCCAGCTACTTGGGAGGCTGAGGCAGAAGAATGGCTTGAACCCGGGAGGCAGAGGCTGCAGTGAGCTGAGGGTGCGCAAGTGCACTCCAGCATGGGCAACAAGAGCGAAACTCCGTCTCAAAAAATAAGAATAATAATAAGCAGTTTACAACCTTAAAACATTCAGCAAACCTAGTATGTGACCTGCATAATTTAGACCACTCCTTTTATCTTTTTGAGACAGAGCCTCACTCAGTCACCCAGGCTGGAGTGCAGTGGCGTGAACTCAGCTCGCTGCAGCCTCCACCTCCTGGGTTCAAGCGGGAGGGTTATCTGCCTCACCCTCTTGAATCCCTGGGATTACAGGCACCTGCCACCATGGCCGGCTAATTTTTATATTTTTAGTAGAGATGGGGTTTCACCATCTTGGCCAGGCTGGTCTTGAACTCCTGACCTCGTGATCCACCCACTTTGGCCTCCCAAAGTGCTGGGATTACAGGCGTGAGCCACCACGTCTAGCCTAGACCACATATTTACATCTTCAAGACATCTGCACTTTACCAATAAATTTTAAGGCTGTTTTTATTTTTCAAAAATTAAAGTCACGTGAGCTGAAAGGTACCGAAGGCTCCATTTTCCCTTTAAAAAAATATTTGATCCAGCTGGGCACGGCTCAACCTCCCAAAGTGTTGGGATTACAGGTGTGAACCATCTGAATCGCTCACACCTGTAATCCCAACACTTTGGGAGGTCAAGGCAGGCAGATCAGGAG